GTAGTAAACAGAACCAGGAGAACAATTCATACAATAAAAAAAAAAATGCAGTAAAGAAAAACTACTTTGAAAGACTTAAGAACTCTGATCACAACAATGACTTTCTAGAGGATCTGTGATGAATCATGTTATCCACTTCCTTCCTGACAGAGGTAACGGACTCAAGGTGAGGGAGTATACATTTTTGGATTGGACCACTGTGGATTTGTTTTCCTTGAATGTATTTATTTGTTATAAAGGTTTTCCCACCCTATTTTTAATGGGTAAGGGGAAGGATTAGAAAGAAGGGTAGCAATGGTGAAGGCAAAAAAAAAAAAAAGAAAGAAAGAAAAGAAAAAAGAGGCAGGCTCTTGAAACATTTTTAAAAGTGCACAGAATATTATGGAATTAAATTCAAAAGGAAGCACAGACCAGCAGGACAGTTCTGAAAGTAACAGGCTGAATGTGTTTTTTTTTTTTTTTTAAAAGCAAGGATGTAAACAATAGGGATTCATGATTTCATATATAATCCTCATATTCTACTGGGTATGTGGAAGTGTTCATTTTGGGGATATTTGTTAAGTTCAAAATAAAAAATTTTAAATTAAAATAATTATACAGAAATTATACTTTAACAATATGTTAATTGTGAATATTTTATTAAATTTCTTTCCAATCAAATAAATCTTTCATTCACTGATAAAAATATGGAATATTAGGATCTACTGATATAAAAGTGACTGACCTAGGCTAAATCTACTTGGAATTTAAAAATTTTAATAAATATCCCTAATACAAATAATGGAAAAATAAAGAATACTTGTGGTTTAAGCAACAGCAAAGAGATCACACTACAGAGAATTCAGTATCAGACAGCAAAAAATCTGTAGTGGGAACAGCACTACTTTAATGAAAAAAAAATCTAGATAAGGATGTAGATAGCAGCCTCACAAATATTACTGATGGAATTAAGATACTTTAATACTAGCAAACAGTGACCAACTATATAAGATTAAGATCACTGGAAAGATATAGTTCATTTAATGGAAGTATTATACTTGTGATTGTTTAAATGTATTTGCAAGTATAGTCTTAAATTTAAAAAATTTTCTTAGACAAAGTTTGTTTGAACAAGTCTTAAAAAGCATTTCTATTTATTTGTACCACAATTAAATTTAAAAGCAAAATGAATAATTTGTATTAAATTTAGTATACTCTGAAAAGGCACATATACACCCTAAGGTGGGGATGGTGCTCACTCCATGTACCTACGCCAGTTCACACTACCTCCTTGCTGTCTTTTGCACATGATACCATATTCTCCTGACTCGGAACCTTTTTGCTAGCAGTTCCCCATACCTGTGACACTCTCCCCTCCTCCTCATCTTCAGGCTTCCTTGGCTTCCTTGAAGTCTCAGTTAACATCCTACATTCACAAGAAACTCTTCTCAAGTCCTTTTAAATCTTAATGCCTTTCTTCTGAGATTATCCGCAGTTTATCCAGCTTATATCTTATTTACAGTTGTTTGAATGTTGTCCTTCCCATTAGAATAAGAGCTCCTTGAAAGTGGGGGCTTTTTTTTTTTTGCCTTTCTTTGTATCCCCAGCATTGAGTACAATGCCAAGCACATAGTAGATGGTTAGCATATGCCAACTGACTGACTCTTGGGCAAAAAAAAGAGCAGAGATTAAAGATGCTCTCACTTCAAGTTACTTAATACAAACATATTTAATTTGAAACAAAACCAAATTCATTTATTATTTGCTGGACACAGATCTAAGTCAGGAAAATCACAGTAGTTTACTCTCTAACACCATATTTTGCACTTCTATTATACCCTTCTGCATTTAGCACAGTGTCAATTTAGAGAAACTGCTACTTGACACTTGTTAGCTTAAGAGATTACAAACAGAAAAAAAAATTATATTGCCAGGTGCCAAATGGCATCTTCAAATGTATTGTATCTATATTTTGCTTCAGCAAAGTGGGATTTTGTTTGTTTTATTTGGGTGGGATGGGGGGGAGAAAGTAGGGAGGTTTCAGGCCAATGACTCAATGAGGATAGGGAATTTCAAGTGAGGAAACCTTTGTTTTACCGTGTTAACAGACATGATGAAAATAATCTAATTGAATAAAACTAGTTTATTACAACCTTTCTACTTTTTCTCTCTTATTCCCCAATCCTAACTACCTTTCTTCCACACAATGAGTAGGGAGTATGACAGAAGAAATCAAGAAAACATTGGATTCCATTATCACTCCTTAGTGGTATAATGGCAGTAAAATATTAGCTAATATTAGCAACTTGTTCCAAACTCCTACACTGAAAGGAAGCCTGTACTTATTACTTACTGAGGCAGCTACTTCTGGACAGCTCCAGCTATTAAGATTATCTTCTTTATACTGGCCCTAAATTTGCCACTTTGTAGCTTCTAACACAGATTTCTGTCCTGGAGCTACCCAGAATAATTCAAATCCCTATTCCACATGGCAGCTATCTTCAAATATTTGAAATCCTATCACCTTCAATTCTGTTTTTCAGAATATTTTAAAAAAATATACTTTGTTTCTTCAACCAAACTTCACATGGCTCAGCATGTCCTTACCAACCCAGCAGCTACTCCTTGGACATGCTCAAGTGTGTCACAAACTCTTAAAGCATGTTGTTCAGAACTGAAACCAGTACTCCAGATGTCATCTGACCAGTTCAGGGTATGTTAACACAATTACATACTCCCTTGCCCCAACATTATACTCCTATTAATGCCATCTAAAACTACACTAGCTTTTTGGGCAGCCACATAATACTTTTAAGTTGGCAACCAAATAAAACCACAACTCTTTGACATATCAACTTTTAAATTAAATCTCTACAATCTTGTAGTGTGGCTTATTTATTTTTAACTTAAGTTCAAGACATTTGCTTCTACTAAACTTCATCTTGATTTATCTTGCTTTACACTATGGATTTAATGGTTGTTGAAATGAAACACTGTATCAATTGGAAAAGATAATGCAGGGTCTTAGTTATGCTTATGTTTGTGATCTACACATTTAAATACATATACATTCTAAGTCTTTGTTTGAGCCACTGATATAAATAATATTAAGAACAGGGCTGAGGACACAGCCCAGTAGAATGCCACTGAAGACCCACCTCCAGGTTAATTTCAATACACTGAGCCATTAACTGACAACTTTTAGAGACAGTGATGATGATAAACTATGAATATACATAATTGCCCTATCATCCAGCCTACGTTTCTATATCTTGTTCACAGGGGTATCATGAAAAGCTCTTAAAAGTCTTGCTAAAATTCAGATACCCTAAGTCTACATCATTTCCTGGATTTATTAGTGTGAAAATCCTATCAAAGCAAGAAATAAGGTTAGTTTGGCACGATGTTCTCAGTGAACTTATGCTGAATGCTTGAAATGATTACTTTTTTTTTGTTTCCCAAGTAGTACTTATAACCATGCATTTTTAAAATTAATTCTAGAATTTTGCCATGGTTCAACAATAGTTCTATAGTCCAAAAACTACTTGCCTTCTTTCTCCCCTCTCACATTTTGAAAACTGGGCCATGTGTCAATCTCTAATCTTCTGTTCTCCACAATTTCTCAAACAGTGGACAATGGCTTAGTAATCATATCTCTAAGTTTTTTCAGTACTTGATTCAGTACCTGGGGGATATAGTTTATCCTCCCCATGCATTTTATATTGCGGGTTACTCTCTATTTTCTTTGTTACATTATTTCTCCTTCAAAATATAGCAAGGTACTACCACAATTCTGGAATTCAATTTCTTGAGAAAGTAGAAAATACCTTCTTAAGAACATATCACCATTTGAAGTAGGAAAAAGACCCTGAAATTAACCATTATCTTATTGGTATCTTGTTTGGAAGAGTAGAGGGCTACCTCTGAAGAAATTATTACATGAGGGTAAGAAGAGGAGTAAACACAACTAGACACATCAGAAACTGTTTTTATGAGATCATTTGTTATGTAATTCTTTTCTTTGTCAAAGATTATCTACACATGTTTTTTCAAAGTAAGATGAAATTCAAGAGGCATTTCTGCAGATCGGTCAAAAGGTGAATTTTGTTCATTTTACAGCTTTTAAATAAGAACAACTTATTCACAGAAAGTAGGGAATAAAGCTAACAGGAGGGGTCAGACACATATTCCAGTGCTGATGTTCCTAAATAAATGAATTTGCAGTAGTAAGGTTCACTAGGATAGTTTTTGGTAAGGCAGGAGACAGTAGTTACAATATAGCAGGACCAGTATCTCTTTTTAATAATATATGCGGGGAAGTAGGTAGCCTCCTTAAAGGCTATTGTCACTTAAACTACCCTAAAGTAAAAATGACCTGCTTAAAGTTAAAAGTAAAAAGATATAAATGTGCATGTTTACATTGGATAAACATACATTCTCGCAGGAAAGCCTAAGATAAGGTTATAGAACAAGATCAAGAACAAGTCTAATAAAAAAGGAACAGGAGATGGGGGAGTAAGGGACTACCCAATGAGTAGAAATCTTTTTTAGTATAAACTTGTGATTTCATAGATAGGAGGACATCAACTTTGAAGATTTTTTTCTCTAGAGTGCTACTTTAAATCGAACACATGTTAAATATAAAACATTATGATGTTTTCATGTGAATTTATGAAGTCATTTACTATCAACTAAAAAAAATTTACATTCAAATAACATCACCCGAAATTCTTGCTGGAAAGCTTGAGCATGGCCTCAAGAATAAGTATACTAAGACAAAAACATTCTTCATTATCTGTCTTGAAGCATAGGTGAGCGGTAGTATTACTTATCCATTTATACTATTCACTACAGAGTTTATAATTTAAAAATTAATTTGTAGGACACTATTCACAAGTTTTAAGTTAATGTAAAGACTCGAGACAAGAAATAACTATTATTCCTATTTACTATTGCCTTCTCCTTATGTAATATCAGAAACCCAATATTATAAACACTTGGTAACTTTATTATATACTTACCTCAGTCACTGGTTGCCCCTGATGTGTCAGATCTAGTTCTTGAGGACGTGTCATCTTATCAATATCCAGAGAATCCATGCTGGAAGCCGCAGAAGTGATGCTTGAACGAGATGAATTGCTAATAGAGCGTCCTTCAGCATCACTTACAGTACCTGCTGATGCTGTTCTCCTGTGCTGATTAATCACTGTAGGCTTGGCATCTTCCATTATTGACTGCTGAGCAGCTTCATCCATGCTGAGAGAAGCCTGTTCTAATTGTGCAGTAATGTCATCCAAGGAGTAGTTGGCAGGTGAAGGCTTAGTTATCCTATTAGATGAAGAGGACGATCCTTTCAGGGTGCCATGTTTCAAGGTATGTCGGCCAGCAGGTAATTTCAGAGCAGCTTTTGTTTCTGTAGTTTGACGCTTACTGTTTCCAGACCCAATGCTACTGAGTTCCTGCTCAATAGAGCAAAGATCAGCCATCAGGGCATCCAAATCCACAGTTTCTCCCTGATTCAGGGCTTCTGCAACAAACAATAATACACATCAGGGTTCTCGTATGGGTTTAATTATTGTTTCTGCATTTCATTATTCCCTTTCCTTCACAGTAAGTGTGTTCCATGTAATAAATTCAAGAGGAAACCAAAATATTTCATTCTATTGGATTTAGAACACATAAAGCATCTGTAATGTATTTTTAAAAATAACAAAAACATATACATTCAGATCTCAACTATTCACAGTTAAATAATATCATAATAATATAAAGTTTGGTAGAATACCAATATGCACTGAAATGGTAACAGGGAAGAGAATAGGAAAATGAAGAGTGAAAGGACAGTACAGAATCTAAAAAAAGTAAAGCACTAGATAATTAAACTAAAACAACCAAGAAAAATAATGATTGGTATTAATTTTATTGGCCTTTTCACATAGTTTTAAGAAATAGCACAATTGGAGACTTCTATATTGTACCTGTATTCAGATATTTAATAAATTTCCTGGAAAATAACTAAAAAAAGTTTAGTTCTGTTAATTTATTTTGAGGTAGAAAACTTTTCTAATCTAAATCTAATCTAAACCATACTAATTATTAAATAATCAATTTGTAACCAGGAAAATATAACTGAGTCAAAACACATATACATATTATTCACCTCTTGTTACTGGCTATCTAATTTTAGCGTCATGCAACTAAGCAAAATACTTCAAATTTTATTTTTCAGTCTTTACTTACCATTCAAATTGTACATGGAGAAACGATAAGAAAAATTGGCAATGTTTGTTTCCTGGCGAAGAGGAGATCTTTTTACTGGTTGTGTTGGCTTGTCAGTATCCAAACTCTTTAAAACAGGTAAACAAAACAAAAAAGTCAGAAAAAAAATAAAGTAAATTATGTATTACATGCAAAATTAGTGATTGCTTCAGTTATGTCAAACATGAGCAAAACTCTCCCTCTGCTTAAGCAGCATACCAAAATATATTTAAAGAAAATACAGTTCAGATAAGCAATAGCCTATTCATTGTTTTAAAATGATTTTTAAAAGTTCCTGAAATCTTTCACTTTAAAAAAAAATTATAATTTAGGATCATTTTAATTTTGTTGTTGTTGAGTCGTTTTCAGTTGTGTCTGACTCTTTATGACCCGATTTGCAGTTTTCTTTGCAATGATACTGGAGTGGTTTGCCATTTCCTTCTGAAGTTTATTTTATAGTTGAGGAAATTGAGGCAAACAGGGCTAAGTGACTTGCCCAAGGCTACACAGCTAGTAAGTGTCTTTAGCTTCACTCACATGCAACTCAACAAATGTTTTATTAAGACCCAACTAGATGCATTGTTTGGTATAAAGGTGATGCAATTTTAACATATGACACACATTACTGAATTATACTAAATATAACACTTATGAGGAAGATGCATTGCTCAAGGTATTTCCTATCCATATGTAAGGATTATAGAAGGAGTTTTCTGTTCATAAATCAGACCATTCGAATCCCTGAAAGATGTAAGTCTGTTCAGTGTTCTGATACAAGGGAGAAATATGTTCACCAAAAGTATTTGCCAGTGATAAAAGGAGATCCAGCACAGAATACAGGTCCTCAAGGGATTCCCTCTGCATGGGGATTCTTTGTTGCAGATGACACATCAGAAAGCATCCTGGAAGAGATCTGTAATAGTTTACCTACAAAGAAAGACTGAATGACAAAGACAGTCCAGATTTCAATGTGGGTGAAGAGACACCCTAGAACTTGTAAAACAGTATGTATACCTAGGATAGGCAACACATATGGACTATGAGCTGGGCCCAGAATTGAAAAGGAGGAAGGGTGGGGGGGAGGCTAGATTGCTTTCTGGAAATTATAAAATATTTTTACTGACCATAAGCTTCCCATTACAGCAAAGGTCCCATTTTAAAAAAATTACATTTTATCTTGCTGTATGCAAACAAGACATGGAACAACAACTAATGATAATAAACATTATATAGAATGGTACAGTGGGTATGAGTAGGATGTAGCATACAGTAAGGGACTAAAAAAACAGGAGTAAAAGAGGTCATCAAAGAATTATATGACAGAAAAAGGTAGGTTGGTCCTATGCAGAGAAAGAGGGATGACAGAGGGCCAGCCAAAGTGACCTAAATCTTGTGGTGTTGGGAGAGATCAAGGAAGGCCTCCATCCCTTTGGGTGAACTCCTTGTGAACAACTTTTGGGAAGTTATGGACAAGAATCACACAGGATGGGCAGATACTGTTAAGATCTATGCTGTTAGAGAGAACTCCCAAATTGATGAGTTCAAAGATCCACTTGAGTATGAGGGATATATATTCAAATTCATTGAGAAATCTTTTCCCTTTATAAATAAATGTCACTATTTAACAAATATAATTGAGAGTCTAGGGGAATTGACCAGGACACCTTTGATCAATTTATTCTCTTTAGCCCAGTTGAAAAACCACATAAGTTAAGGAGCAAATAATAGAGACAAAGTATGAGTGTAAAGAAGAACTTAGAACTTACTACCCATCTATGAGTTGTGAAGAAGTTCTGTGATCAAAATTATAAGGTAGTTAGCTATTGGTTGTGTCCTTAGTAGTTCTTAAAAAATTGATAGGCAGTACAGGTCTCTAAGTGTGACTTCTTACAACAGAAAAGAGAGCCATCTATATAAGAAAAACCACTCAGTTCTTGAAAGGGAATTGTTCCTTGAGGGTAAGGGAAGGGGATAGGGAGAGAAAAATAAAGGGAGGGAAAGGTAAGTAAGGGGGAAGAGATTTCTCTCTCCTCCCACCAACTCCAATGGGCAGGATATCTACCCTCAAGACACTCAAACACTGAGCAGATCCAGTGAATAGAGGCACAAGACAGGAGGAGCTCTGTAAACTGAGAAGGAAAAGTTAGGCCTGGTCATAAGGAGTTGAGTTGTGTTAATAGGCCCAGGGAGCCAGCTGAGAAACTTGCCCTGGAAACATGCATGAAGCACGAAGATACCATGAGAATTAAAAGGACATTAGAGTCTTGCACCGCCATAAATGCAATTTGCCTTAGTCACCTGTGTTCTATCAGAGTACTTTAAATATATTCCTATTTTCCCCATCAATGCTGCATGTAGTTGTGAGACAGACTGTCCCATGTTAATATGGAGAATGATTTTTTTTTCAACTATAGTTTACTAGTTCTTGTAATGACATCTCAGGAAATGCCCTTGCTTGGAACTGTTTGTAGTTACTGGCTAACTATTAAAAATAAATATAATACTGAGAGTTCGTGATTTACAGTTTTAAGAGTAAGTACCTAGAGTAAGTACCCTTAAACCTCAAGGTATAGTGACCCCCAGGAGGTTCCAACCTACTGACTTTGTTTTACAAAATCACCAGAAATTAAAATACCCAGCCCTCCCCTTTCTCCCCTCTTCCTGAAATCAGATGATAACAAGCAAGTAAAGCCACTAGAATACAATGAAGAGTTTTGCTTGAATAGAGAATATGTTAAATGCAATAATAATGAAAAGTATTAACAATGAAGCAATAGGCCCTTAACTATTGGCAGCATAATACAGCAGAAAATCTGCTTAAGTCAAAGACCCTGAATTTATATCCTTGTTTGACCACTTGCTACCTCTATGTCCTTATTTATTTATACATACTATGATCTCTCTCTCTCTCTATATTTATTTATACATATTTTATACACATATACATAGTTATATTTATATTTATGCATTCTGCAGGGTAGATTATACATTCTACAGTTATTTTAAATGGAATCTTTCTTTAACTTCTTGCTGAGTTTTGTTGGTAATATATAGAAATGCTGATGACTTATGTGGATTTATGTTATATACATATATTCATATACACACATATGTGCTCAACTTTGTTGAATTTATCAATAATTTCAATCAAATTTTAACTGATTCTCTAGGGACTTCTAAGTAAATCATATCAGCAGAAAGTGATATTTTCTTTCCTCTCTCCCTATACTTATGTACTTAATTTCTTTTTCTTACTACAACAAATAGCAGTGATGATAATGGACAACTACGCCTTACCTGTGCTCTTACTGGAAAGAATTCTAGTTTATTCTCATTACATATGAGTGTCTAGGGGAATTGACCAGGACACCTTTGATCAATTTATTCTCTTTAGCCCTAGCCCTAACCCTAACCCTAACCCTAATACAACTTATGGTTGTAGACAGATGATTTTTCCTATTAAGAAAAGATCCACTTGTTCCTGCTTTGTAGTGGTGTTGTTGATTTTTAAATAGAAATGAATATTGTAGTTTATCAGAAAGCTTTTTCTTGATCTACTGATATAACCATATGATTTTTGTTGTTTTTGTTATTGATATGGTCTATTATGTTTACAATTTTCTTAATTTTGAAACAACCCTGAATTGCTGGTATAAATCCAGTCTGGTCGTAGTTTATGATCTGTTTGATATGTTATTCTACCCCTTTGCTAACATTTTACTTAAAAGGTTCATGCCAATCTTCATCATGGCTATTGGCCTATAGTTTTCTCTCTGTTTTACATCTTCCTATTTTAGATATCAAAGCTAAATTTGTATCACAGGAGGGATTTGATCAGAATCTCTTTCCTTTTTTGGTGAATAGTTTGTGTAAATATTGGAATTTTTCTTTGAATATTTGAAAGAATTCACTTGTTCATCTTGTGCTTTCTTTTCCCTGCTGAGAATTCATTCATGTGTTATTCAATTTCTTTTTCTGACATTGGGTTATTTAAATTCTCTATTTCTTGTGATAATTTGGGCATTTTTTATTTTTGGAAATATCCATCCATTTCATTTAACTAGTTTTGTTGGGACACAGTTGGTAAGATAATTAATAAATTTCTTTTATTCTTCATTTGCTGTGAATTTTTTGTTCATTTTTTGATACTAGCCAGTTGGTTTTCCTCTATACACTATGCAATGGTTTGTCTATTATATTAGTTTTAGTTATTTAAAAAATAAGCTCCTACTTTACTAAACTTTTTAGATTAACTGTGATAATGGGGTACAAAAACTTACAAAAGTGAACAGAAAATATTTATATGGGATCTTTAAATTTCTCACTAGCTGTGAAACTAATAAAATAAAATGCTCACTAGCTCTTTTATTCTGTAAAATATATTAACCATTAATGTAAAATTCATCATTGTAAAGTAGTGAACAGTGTCCACCTGTATCTCAGAGTCAGCATTATATTTGTCAGTTTCTTTTTAGAAAAAAGAAAGAATCTTTAAAGTAAAACTTCTTGGACAATAGAAATCAAATACCATCTTCAACCTCTTCCAAAAAAATAACAAAAGAAATCTCATTCTTCTTTAAATCCAGACACCCAGTAAAAGCAAACTATAGGAAAAAACTATTGTTAGTGGTCTAAATTAATAAGTTAGATACCAACTAAAGTTAGATAAAGTTTGGAAATATGTAAGAAAAGACAATATTATTAAATAAAATGATGCATAATTTTTTTGTCATTTGGCTTGGATCTGAGTGGATTTGCTCAAGCTGTGAAATCCTAAACTACAAGCTTTTAAAAATTATTAAAATGTGATCATACAGAAGTTTCATTAAGTGCTTATTTCCCTTTGTCATTTTCTACACCTAAATATTTTATACTGATTTTAAAATATTCAAAATTACCACATAAAATCACATTTCCTAAAGTTACTATTTATGTCCTTTTTTTAGTATATTTTTTTCTCCTTTTGTGTAATATTTCTATTTTATTTCAGTTTTCAGCTCACATAATCCTTAAAGACTAAATTAATACATGATACTTTCAAATCCTTAACCATTTTCTCATAAACTATTTCTGACCTGTGTAAGTTTGTCTAGCTCCCCAAGCCAAGCCCCAAACATTTTGTCCAGATCCTGATCTTCTTTGTCACTGTCTTCCTCAGCACCATGGTCAAGTTCTTCATCTGATAACTGCTCCATCTGAAATATAAGAAATTTACCTTAGTAATTACAATTACAAATTTCTAACAACTTTATTCTTAAACATCACACACATTCAGTATATAAGTTTTAAGTATATTGAATCAAACAAAACGGGCAAATTAGAAATAAGCTATTTGGTATGAAAATCCAAGAATTTGAAATGACAGTCAAAAATCTACTATTGTTCCCAGAGCATTCCCACCAATCAGCAGACTGTATTTTATTACATGGTAGTGAAAAATGCTAGAATGGGAGTCAGAAGAACTGAGTCCTAACATGAGCTCTCCAACACTGTGTGTGACCTTCACTAAGTGACCATATCTATCTGTTTCTCACATTCTTAATCTCTCTCTGGCTTTAACATTCTGATTTCTTTCTAGATAAATTTCTCCCCCCTAGAAGACCCAGGTCCATCTCCAAAACAGGAAGAAAATAAACAGCTTCAGAATACCTCAAATAGGCAAGTCATTATTTTATTTAACCTGTTAAGACTCCAAAACAGCTATAGAGATACAGTTGTATAAGCAATTGCGAAGGCAGGGTCAAAATAGCATGCCTTGCTTCAATGACCATTTACTAGATTTCAAAAATATCCTAGTTTTTCTTTCAAACTTTCTTCTCCTACTTTACCCTAACTTCACCTTCTACCCTTTAAAAAATCTTCTATATAATCTTTTCACTTCACAACAGCCCCTCTAAATGAAAGGGAAAAGTAATAAAATTTTAAAACCTTTGAATATGTATATGTATATATATATGTATGTATATATATATATATATACACACACATATATATGTATTGCTACAACTTTGTTACAAATACTTTAATAGGCTGCTAGGTGGCATAGTGGATAGAGTACCAGAGTTCAAATCCAGCCTTAGGCCAGACACTTGACACTTACTAGCTGTGTGACCCTGGGCAAGTCACTTAACCCAATTGCCTCAAAAAAAAAAAGGCAAAACAAAATTCATTATCTTCGAGGGCAGCTAGGTGGCTTAGTGGATAGAGCACCATCCCTGAAGTCAGGAGGACCTGAGTTCAAATCTGACCTCAGACCAAAACACACTTGACAGTTACTAGCTGTGTGACCCTGGGCAAGTCACTTAACACAGTTGCCTTTAAAAAAAAATACTTTGATAAAAGGAATTTCTTCCTAAATAATGTGCATAAACAAGGCATTATAATTAGTTAATAATTCTGATTTATTTAGAGAATAGAAAAAGGGAATAACTAAAGAATTTATTTAGACATTCTGCTGTGGTTGTAACATAAAATTATTTTGAATTATTGCTAATGTCCTTCACAATAATTATCACCTAATGTAAACTTATTCCTGTTTAATGATGCTAAAATCTAAGAGTTTTTCAACCACTTCTATTTCACAATACATTTCAAAATGTGGATTTCTCATAGTACACCCGAAGAAAACAAGATCAGAATGATGTCTGACAAAGTCTAGTATTTCTAAGTGATCTGATAAAATACTAAATTGGAAAGTCATTAATGGAGAAGATAGGTTAGACCTCATGAAATTATATCTATGACTGATAAAGCAACAAAGAAACAAAAGAATTAATGGCAACTTGGCTGTCCAGAAGTAAACCTGGATTAGCTACCTCCTACTAAAATGTCCAAGCATGATAATTGTGAACGATGGGGATGGGATCTGAACCCCTAAAAGGAAAAGACCATGCTTTTGGGATCTTGACCCCAAAAAATAAAATCCCTGGATTTTTCCCAAATCTCTGGTGTTTGCCTGAGGCTGTAATCCACTCAACTGGCCTTATTGTGGCTGTGCCCAATCTCCCAATTTTGTTCAGTTACCTGAACAGGGGACTGCCACTTCCTATCCTTAATCCTATCTAGATTCTATTCTTCCAGGTCCCTGGCATTCTGTTCATTCCAGCTTACTGGCCACTCCCATCCAGATTCTCCTTAGACCCTTCCTCCAGACACCCCAGACTCCTTGGCCACTCCTGGATCCCTCCCACAGTCTTTCTGTTATAAGAGTCATCCTGTCTCCATTAAGATGCTCAGATTCATTAAGAGTCTAGCCAAGGGCTCAGATTCTTAAGATCTAGCCTGCTTGCATTAGTGATACAAATGCTTATTTTCCTTAAGAGTCTGGCCAATATGGCGGATGTTCTAATAAACCTTCTCTTTGGCTGTGAGAAGGCTTGTGTCAAATTCATTTGGGTAACGAAGGGCTAAAATGATTGCCTTGTTGTAGTGATGGTGCAGTGTAGGTTAGATAACATAAATTTGTTGTTGTGATTTTGGGGTCCCAGCATCCCTAAACTTCTAAACCTCGACACTAGGAGTAGGCAAAATTTTAAAAGTTTTATTTACTGATTAGAGGGGCAGTGTTACAAAATGGACAGGGAATCTCAATGCCAGTCTATGAAGGTGGGCAAGTTGAACCTATGTAGTGGGAAAAGCTCAGTTTACTGCAATATTTAGATTTTCACAATGCACTAGTGTGTCCTGATACATTGGTTGGAGAAGCAGAATCATACCTTGCTTTACTGAGAAAAATCACATAATTTATGTTTCTGAAGAGGAAGAATCTGGGTTGGCAAAATTAGAGGTCTGGGGTAAAAAGAGAGACACTTTCTGATCCACATAAAGTAACTCATTTTAGGCACAAACTTGAGAACGTAATGGTTTGAAAGCAAGCACCATCCTACCATTTAATTAATCATAAAATTAAAATAGTCATGTAGCATGACCACCACAAAGTCCTTCATTGTGCTTCATCATAGCACAAGCTTTGTCAGGTTCTGCTAAGCTCAAAAGGCTTTGTGTACAAACCCAGGGACAAACTAACTATATATCTAGTGAATAATATTTTTGGCTATACTAGCTCTTCAGGACCATCAACTAAGTAAAGAACTGCATTAGTGAAAGATGGTCCCAGAAGGATAAATCCTTTGAAGAAATACTGAGTAAATTATGATTGGTAGTACCAGTTTGTCTCTTAAATTTTAAGAAAACTATAAAAGAATATGAACTTGCTACATGGATAAATTAAGGAATAAGTATCACTTTACAAAAGGACATACTGCAAGTTTCTTTAAAATGTTTTCCTCCCCTGAATCTAAAATAAGATCATTTACCAAAACAGAATTTGCACAGTCTTTTCAGGTATATTTCAACTGTATTCAATCAAAGTCTGTATATTGAACTGAGACAAATGTAATCATATTGAACTGTGATATTTGCCAGAATACTAAAGTACAAAGAGTAGATATATTTTGTATTTCATTAAAACATAGATAGAGAGATAGATTCCAAAGTAGTAAAAAATTAAAAAGTGAACATATTTTAAAGTCACAGCCACCACTGACATTGCTGTGTCAAGGATCTAGTGTAATCTTTCTTTCAGATAGTTATTTATAATGGTATTAAGGAAAGAATTTAAAAATAAAACTATTTCTTAATATATGTATACATATATTAATTACTATTAAATGACAATATTGCTAAAATGTCAGAGTCTAAGGAATCTGGCTGATCATAAATACAAATTATTGTTCAATTCATAGGAAATGCACCATCACTGTACCATGTATAAGACTACAAATTTCTAAATACTAATTCTGCTTAAATGAACCTAGACAATGCCAGGAATACAAACTGTCACATGATCTAAACAGAGAATATTCTCCAAGTTTCCTCAGTAATTACATAGTATATGTATGTACATAATACATGTACCTGTATGATGTATGTATGTATATGTAAATGCAGTTATCTCATTAGGGAAATCCCTGCCTAAGGCTAAAGAAGAACTTCAGGCTACCCATCCCTCATTTAAGAAGAAAAATGTTATATAATTACCTCAGTATTTCTAAATCTGTTACACAATACTTTTAGGAGTACTGATAGATCTTATGAAGCTATTTTAAATTTTAATTTAGAAAGAAATATGCACAATATAGAATTCTAATAGACTCTCACAAAAAAGAAGACAGGTGGCAACTCTTTAAAAAATTAACATCAAATATGGCATACTGCTACAGAGTGAATCCTTTTAAATGTCTCACCAGGCACTAGAAAGATATGAAACCTATCACATAGATGGAAATTTCTGATTATAGACAAATATTCCTGATTTTAAATAGTCACTCAACAAACTTTCAATTAATACATATCAAGTGCTTTGTGTATGCAAGAAAGATGGGGAGGATGCAAAGTGTATATACACACACACACACACACACACACACACACACACAGTCATTTTACTGAAATATAGGGTAAAGTAAGGGAGAATTGGGAGATAAGGTAGACTGGGACCAAATTATTTCTTGAAAGCTAGACAGAAGAGGTTTTTGTTTTGTTTTGTTTTGTTTTGTTTAAAGGAAGAGGCTAACATGATCAGACTGCAGCTTTAGGAAAGAAAATTTAGTGGCAATGTGTTTGGATGCATGGGGGATAGGCAATGGCAGGAGGAAAGAAAAAGTAATGGCAAGGAGACAGCTCAGGAGGGTATTGCAAAGATTTAGGCAAGAGGTAATTAGGATCTGAGCCTGGTTGATGGCAAGAAAGAAGAGAAGGGGATAAATGTGAGATACTGATCTCTAAGGTCTCCAGACTGGATAAACAGGGGCAGGGTCAAAATCAGAAATAACCATGAGATAGGATGAGATCTAAATGGGGGTTGGGGGAAGGAAGATAAAGGATGATAGGGACATTAACATAAAGAAATAAGGAGAAATAACCAGTTTTGGAGAAAAGCTAACTCAGTTTCTCATCTGAAAAAATGAGGGGTTTGAACTCGATGTTATAAATCCTATGATCCTATGAGTTCAGATTAGCCAAAGAAAAGAGTGTGTTTAATGAAAAGAACAGTGAGATCAAGGGACACAGACTGTCCCAGTAGTTCTGCCACCAAATCAGCTATGTAACTACTTTGTACTTGCACATATTTACCAACTTCAGATTTATGCTGTATATATTTTTCTATATACTTGCTGTCTCCCCTATTAGAATG